CTGGATTTTTGTTTTTTTTTTTTTTTTTTTATTTAATTTGCCAAATAAACACCGAACCCTATGTGTCCAGGCATTATTCTCAGGGTTGTTTTTTCTCTTTTTCCTCTTCTTTTTTTTTTTTCTGTAAAGAGGTTGGGGTTGGCCAGGCGCGTGGTGATCAGCGCTTACCCGCACTTGGGAGGCTGGAGGCGGCGGATCACCTGAGATCAGGAGTTTGAGACCCAAGCCCTGGCCAACCATGGTAAAACCCTATCTCTACTATACAAAAAAATTAGGCCTGGGTGCCAGCTGGCTAATGTGCCTGTAATCCCAGCACTTTTGGAAGGCTGAGGCAGGCAGATCACGAGGGTCCAGCATCGAGACCATGCCTGCGCCAACACTGGGGAAACCCCCTGTTCTACTAAAAATGCAAAAATGACTATGGGCATGGTGGCGCATGCCTGTAGTCCAGCTACTCGGGAGGCTGAGCAGGAGATCACATGAACAGGAAGGACCAGAGGTCCGCCAGTGAGCCGATGATCGCGCCCTACTGGCACTCCAAGCCTGGTGACAGAGCAGAGACTCCTGTCATTAAAAAAAAAAAAAAAAATAGCGTGGGCATGGTGGGTGCCATGCTTGTAATGCCTAGCTACTCAGGGCTGAGGCCAAGGAGAATGCTTGAAAGCCAGGAGCAGAGTTGCAGTGAGCTGAGTTCAGCCATGGCACTCAGCTTGGGTGCCAGGCGAACCTCTCTCAAACAAAAAGGAACAGTCAGGGTCTTACTCTGTCGGCCAGGCTAGAGTGCAGTGTCACGATTCATACTCACTGCTGCCCTTAAACCTGCCTGGGCTGCTCAAGTAATCCCTGTTGCCCGGCCGGCGCGGTGGCCTCAAAGCCTAAAAAAAAAAAAAAAGTAATCCTGTTGCCTCAGCCTCTCCAAGTAACCGGAACCACAGGTGCGCACTGCCATGCCCGGCTAATTTTTTCATTAATTTTTTTGTAGGGACAGAGTCTTGCTATGTTGGCTGGGCTGGGCTTGAACTCTTGGGCTCAAGTGATCCTCCTGGCTTGCCCTCCCAAAGTGCTGGGATTATAGGCATAAGCCACTGTACCTGGCCTATTCTCAGTTTTTCAATGCCCCCCAAATCTCTGTGAGGTGGCAGTCATTATACCTATTTTATAGATGAGGAATTTGGAAGGTCAGAGAAGGAAAGTGATTTTGCAAAGATTAGCTAAGTAGGAAGGGACTGGGAGGCATCACATCAGGTGGGTGGGTGGTTGACCCTATTCACTCCATCCTCAGGGGCCCCTCCAGTGACAGTGCAGGCTGCCACACTGGCCCGTGGCTCTGGTCGCCCCATAAGCCTCTACCTGGCGCGTTCCAAAAGCATCAGCAGCAGCAACCCCGACCTCGCCGTGGCCCCTGGCTCTGTGGATGATGAGGTTTCCCGCATCCTGGCCAGCAAGGTAGGGCAACGGGGGCCCTGGAATCTCCAGGCTTAGTGGTTGTAACTGCCACGTGGGTGGGCAAAGAATCTCTGCTGATGAAACATAGGAAACAACAGAGAGGACAACATGGATGAAGGCTTAACTCTGGGCAGCAGAGTTGGGCTGGGCTCTCGCAGGTTGTGGGGTATGGATCAGACTTGGTACTGAGCTCTGTACTCCATGACTGACCCGAGGACGATGGCAGAGCTTGGCGTGGCTGAACAAAGAGCAATATGTACCTAGTGTAGCAGGTGCATATACACATTTACTTCATGCATATGCCTACACAGGTGCATATACACATTCACCCCATGCATGTATGTCCACAGGTGCATATACACATTCACCCCTCACTTGCATATACCTACACAGGAACATGGGCACGTTCACCGTATGCATATATATACACGGGCACATATATATGTTCACCCCATGAATGTGTGGACACAAGTGTGTATACACCATTCACCTCATGCATATATGTACACAGGTGCATATACACATTCACCCCACGCATAACGCATATACAGACCCGGGTGCATATACACGTTCGCCCCACGCATATACAGACCCAGGTGCATATACACGTTCGCCCCACGCATATATAGACCCGGGTGCACATACACGTTCGCCCCACGCATATACAGACCCGGGTGCATATACACGTTCGCCCCACGCATATACATGTTTGCCCCACGCATATACATGTTCGCCCCATGCATATACACGTTCGCCCCATGCATATACAGACCCGGGTGCACATACACGTTCGCCCCACGCATATACAGACCGGGGTGCATATACACGTTCGCCCCACGCATATACATGTTTGCCCCACGCATATACATGTTTGCCCCACGCATATACACGTTCGCCCCATGCATATACAGACCCGGGTGCATATACACTTTCGCCCCATGCATATACAGACCCGGGTGCATATACACGTTCGCCCCAAGCATACACAGACACAGGTGCATATACAGTTTCGCCCCATGCATATACAGAGCCAGGTGCATATACACGTTCGCCCCATGCATATACAGACCCGGGTGCATATACACATTCACCCCGTGCATATACAGACACGGGTGCATATACACATTCACCCCATGCCTCTACTTACGCAGGTGCATATACACAGTCACCCTGTGCCTGTATGTACACGGGTCCGTATTCACCTCATGCATATACGTATACGGGTGTGTATACACATGCACCCCATGCACAGACGTACAGGGGTGTGTATGCATGCACCCATGGACCCACATACACAAGTATGTATAGGCATGCACCCAATGGACCTACATACATATGCACATTTTTCAGGATTTTCAGGACGTATGATGATACATACGTGGGCACATGTATGGTCCAGAACCATGTCCATGCTTGGTATTTCATGCTGCTTTCCCTGCCCTCCACTGGGGATGCTAGCACTTCTCCGTGTATCTCCAGGGCATCGATCGCTCACACTCCTGGGTGAATTCCGCTTATGCTCCAGGAGGCAGTAAGGCTGTGCTGCGGCGGGCGCCCCCTTACTGTGGGGCCGACCCCAGACAGGTGCCCTTCCTACCTGTCCCTGCACTTGTGTGACACCACCTCAGCATGAGCTCCTCCCACCTTCCTGGCTGCATCTGACTAACCTAAGGGGGCTGCCTGAAGGAGGTGGCAGACCCCTCTCCTGCCTTTGTTTGGGGCTGTGAAGTCTGTGTTTAGGCATCGCTGGGTCATCTTAAGTGGCCTTTTGCTGCCACATAGGCCACAGTCTCAGATGGAGACAGAAGGCACAGGGATGATATGCAAATAGCATGCAAATGAAACGCAAATCCAGTCACCCATAACCTCACTGCCCTGCATGGCCTATTCACCTCCCTTTAATCCACCCAGATAATGGGATTCTCAAAGGGCTGGACCGGAACCTCTCGGCTCCCCATCCCGTTTAAGACAAAGAGCTCCCCTTACCCTGCCTCTTTCCAGGTACCTGGTGTAGTGGAGGGCTTTGCCTCAGGTCCTATCTCTGCTATGAGCTCACCCCATGCTCTGAGCAATTGGATGCATCTTCCCGAGCCTCAGTTTCTGCATTTGTAAAATGAAGATAACACTCCAATTTTTCAGATGCAGTTTGGACTCAAAATATGGTGCTTCCCCAGCAGTCCTGAGCCTGTGCTTGATTAGGGCTGAGGGCATTGCAGTGGGATTTTGTTGGGATGATAGATTCTTGGTCCGGCCTTGACCCTGAGCTTCTAACTAGTTGCGGAAATAGACATGGATCAAACAAATGCGTTAAGTGTACGATCACACAGCGTGGAAAGGAAGCAAGTAGCAACCGAATACCAGCTTCTCTCTGGGTGGTCTTGGGGGCCTCTCCAGGGCGGTGACATCGTTTGCTGCGACCTGAAGGGTGAGATAGAGTCAGCTAGGGAAGGGGGGGTGGGTGCGGCTGTTGCAGGGAGAGGGAAAGGCATGTACAAATATTGGGACCAAGGTCAGAGGACTGTACACACAGAGAGCAGGCCACAGGGCTTGCTTCCTTACACACTTGGCGCTAGGGCCTCTTCCAGCTCTGTGCCCATCACCAAGGCAACCTGTACCCTATGACAGGCCCAGGGGACTGTTAGCAGAACAAGCAGGGGGGCCTTAGGGCAGTCATTTCCTCGGATTGTTGGGAATCTGGAAATCTAGGTGACACTGAGGCTGGGCCTTTTCAGTGGAAGGCCCTCGTGGTGCACAGTGAGTTGCCAGGGCATGGCTGGGACTGGGGTAGCTGGAGAGCCCTCAAGTGTCAGAGTAGGTCCCGGGGTTGGGTCGGCTCTGTCATCAGACCTCCTCTCCCTGCGAGCAGCCTCGCCTCCCAACCAGCGAAGGAGGAAGCAAGAGTGGAGCTTGAACTCCTCTGCCCATACCCATTTCACAGATGGGAATACTAAGGCCCAAGCCAGGCTTGGGCAGGGCCAGGCCTGGAACCTTGGACTGTCTCTGCTATTCCTGGCACCTCATCAACATCTCACCTCCTCTGCCCTTATCTTTCTGCCTTGTCTTTCTCCTCCTTCCCCATCTTGTGTTTAACCTCCTCTGTCCACACTCACCCTCCTGCACCTCTGCGTCCTCCTCTCTGTCCTCTAGACTCACTGACTCGGTCATACTCTACACCTCGTCCACACTCACCCTCACCTTCTCTGGCCACACACATTCTTGCTGTCTACACTGATTCCATCTCCTCTGCCTTCACCCCACACACCACGCACCCATTCCCAGCCTTCGTGTGTTCTCGGTCCTGCTCCATCCACACTCCTTCTGCCTATTGTGTTCGCACTGCTGTGTCACTGCTGTACCGTGTTTTCATTGTTATTCTCACCTCCTCTATCACATTCTTTTTTTTTTTTTTTTTTTTGGAGACAGAGTCTCGCTTTTGTCACCTAGGCTGGAGTGCAATGGTGTAATCTCGGCTCACTGCAACCTCTGCCTCCTGGGTTCAAGCGATTCTCCTGCCTCAGCCTCCCAAGTAGCTGGAATTACAGGTGCCTGCCACCATGCTTGGCTAATTTTTGTAGTTTTAGTAGAGACGGGGATTCAACATGTTGGCATGTTGGCCAGGATGTTCTCGATCTCCTGACCTCATGACCCACCTGCCTCAGCCTCCCAAAGTGCTGGGATTACAGCATTCCTTTTTTTTTGAGACAGAGTCTTGCTCTGTCACCCAAGCTAGAGTGCAGTGGTACCATCACAGCTTGCCGCAACCTCCAAGTCCCAGGGTCAAGCAATCCTCCTGCTTTGGCCTCCCGAGCAGCTGGGACTACAGGCACACGCCACCAGGCCCAGCCATATATATATATATACACACACACATATATATACACGTATTTTTTTTTCTTAGTAGAGTCATTATCTTACTATGTTGCCCAGGCTGGTCTTAAACTCCTGGGTTCGAGCAGTCCTTCTGCCCCAGCCTCCCAAAGTGCTGGGATAACAGGTGTTGAGCCACCCCACCCAGCCTCACGTTCTTCTCCCATACCCACACACCTTGATCTTGACTCACCCAGCTCTCTCCAGCTACTCTTTTATTTGTCCCTGCCTCCACTGCTCTGTCTACTCCCACAGCACCCTGGCCATGCCAACCAGCCTCCCCTCCCCACCCACGCTAACCCATCTCTCTTTCCTGCCTGCCCCCACTGCCCTTCCATGGCCCTGACCCATCCATGTGGAAGCATTTCTTTCTCTATATTCACACTGACCCACCTCTTTTCCCCCATCCCTGTCTGCATGGACACATCTTTCCTCCAACCACGTACCCCTTCACCTCATCCACACTAACCCTCTCCTCACCATCACATCCCATCATAGGCCATCGACCGCACCTCTAGCCGAGCCTCCTCCTACCTCGAGGGTTCCTCCTCAGCCCCACCAGCCACCCAGCCGAGACCCACTGTGCAGAAGGTAGTGGGGGGAAGGGTGGATGACTTCATTTTTGTCCTGGCCCCCAGCAAAGGGGTCCAGTGCTCCTCCCCCATCCAGAGCCCAAGGGGGTCTGGTGAGCCCAGGGAAAGGGCACATCCACTCCTCTTACCCCTCTCCTCCTGCTTGGCTCCTGCTGCACTAACCCCGAGCCCTCCGGCTGCATCCTCCCCTGGCATGCCCTCCAGAGGGGGTGCGGGAAGGGGTGGCACCTTGCACTCTGTGACCCCTGCCTCTGTCCCCAGCTGCTTCACGAGGAGCTGGCTCTGCAGTGGGTGGTCAGCAGCAGTGCCGTACGCGAGGCCATCCTCCAGCACGCCTGGTTCTTCTTCCAGCTCATGGTGAGACCCCCGCCTCCCTGCCTGGTGGCAAGAGACCCCCAAGGGAGCCCCTTCCTTTTTTAAAGAGAGATGCCCCCTGGCCAGGCGCAGTGGCTCATGCCTGTAATCCCAGCACTTTGGGAGGCCGAGGCGGGTGGATCATGAGGTCAGGAGATCGAGACCATCCTGGCTAACATGGTGAAACCCCGTCTCTACTAAAAATACGAAAACATTAACCAGGCGTGGTGGCGGGCGCCTGTAGTCCCAGCTACTTGGGAGGCTGAGGCAGGAGAATGGCATGAACCCAGGAGGCGGAGGTTGCAGTGAGCCGAGATTGCGCCACTGCTCTCCAGCCTGGGCAACAGAGCAAGACTCAAAAAAAAAAAGAAAAAAAAAAAAAAGGAGAGAAGCCCCCTGAGATTGCACCTGAGATATTTGAGAAATGGCCCCAAGAGACCCCCCACCTAGGGAGGTAAGAAGCACTTAAGGTGGTGTCTCCGTGGAGAGACTGTACCTGAAACCCCCTTTAGAGAGAGCCTCCCTTCCCCATGAGACTGTTAAAGGAGAGAAACCATTAAGAGACCCTCACCTAGAGAGGAGACCTCCATCCTGCAAGAGATATTCCTGGATAGAGAGGGAAAGCTGTGGCCGGGCACAGGGGCTCACGCCTGTAATCCCAGCACTTTGGGAGGCCGAGGCGGGTGGATCACCTGAGGTCAGGAGTTTGAGACCAACCTGGCCAATATGGTGAAACCCCATCTCTACTAAAAATACAAAAGTTAGCCGGGCGTAGTAGCATGTGCCTGTAATCCCAGCTACATGGGAGACAGAGGCAGGAGAATCACTTGAACCCAGTAGGCAGAGGTTGCAGTGATCAAGATCATGCCCACTGCACACCAGTCTGGGCGACAGAGCAAGACTCCATCTCCAAAAAAAAAAAAAAGAGGGAAAGCTGTCTGATCAAGGTAGAGACATCCCTAAAACTCTTCAATAGGTTCTTTGAAGCCCCCTTCCCAGGGCCTGCTGGCCCCATCCCCTCTGGACCTCCAGTAAAGCTCCCTTCAAATCCAGTGCCTCAAGCCCCACCCTTTGTCCCACCTCTGGACTTTGTCCTGGGGAGACCTGCATAAGCCCCTCCCACACCCTCTCAGCCTTCCCGTTCTCTACACTCAGCCTGGGATGCTCACAGGATCCGCCCATGGCTTTCTCAAGCCCCACCCATAGGTCACAAACCCCATCTACATCCCTCAGGCCCCAACTGTAGCTGCAGCTACAGGGCTCAAACCTACCTTCAGCCCACCTCCCTTGCTACTAAAGCCCCACCCCTTCTGTCAAGCCTCCTCCACCCACAGCCTTTCAAGCCCCACCTACAGCGCTTCAAGCCCCACCCACAGCCCTTCAAGCCCCACCCACAGCCCTCTCACTCCACCCCCAGGTGAAGAGTATGGCACTGCACCTGCTTCTTGGCCAGCGACTAGACACACCCCGCAAGCTGCGCTTCCCTGGGCGCTTCCTGGACGACATCACTGCCCTGGTGGGCTCTGTGGGCCTGGAGGTCATCACCCGTGTCCACAAGGTGGGAGATGCAGGGTCTCAATGTGGGAAGAAACCTGAGGGAGGACATAGAGCCAGCCAGGTGGGGGCGCCAATCCTGCCCAGTGCTTCCTGGCTGTAAGACCAGGAATCTGCTTTGCTGGGTGGATCTGTTCATTCATTGTCTGTTTCTTGACTGCCTCTGGTGTGCACAGCGAGCCAGCCAGGTGGGGGCGCCAATCCTGCCCAGTGCCTCCTGCCTGTAAGACTGGGAATCCCCTTTGCTGGGTGGATCCATTCATTCATTGTTTCTTGAGTGCCTCTGGTGTGCACAGCCCTGTGCTGGGTGTAGCAACATAACAAGAAACAAAACAGACCCAAATCCTTACCCTCGCTTTTAAGGGGAGACTCGAAGAAAGTGAGAGATCATTCCATGCAACGTCTGGGGAAGGAACATTCCAGGCAGGGAGAATAGCAGGTGCAAAGGCCCTGGGGCAAGACCATGCTTGGGCTACCAGGAGAGCAGTAAGGATGGCTAGATTGTAGTGAATGAGGAAGGAAATGAGGGTTGATGAGAGCAGGGAAGTGACAGGGCAGATCCATTAGCCCTTAGCACAGTCAGAGTATACAGCAAGTGCTCAATAAATGGATGTTGATGTTCGGAGACCCTGACAGTGGACTTGTTCAGGCCCTGGATTACCAATTCCAGTGCCCTCGGGGGCTAGGCAGGTAATACTAATCATAAGAGTAATAATATCGAGCATTTATTGAGCACTTACTGTGTATCTAAGCACTTTATATGGATATCTTTTGTTTGTTTGTTTGTTTGTTTTGAGACGGAGTTTCGCTTTTGTTGCCCAGGCTGGAGTGCAGTGGCGCGATCTTGGCTCACTGCAACCTCCGCCTCCCAGGTTCAAGCAATTCTCCTGCCTCAGCCTCCCAAGTAGCTGGGATTACAGGCATGTGCCACCACACCTGGCTAATTTTGTATTTTTAGTAGAGACAGGGTTTCTCCATGTTGGCCTGGCTGGTCTGGAACTCCTAACCTTGGGTGATCCGCCCGCCTCGGCCTCCCAAAGTGCTGGGATTACAGGCTTGAACCACTGCTCCTGGCCTTGGATCGTATCATTAAATTTTCACAACCACCCATGAAGTTAGTATTATTGTTATCTCCATTTTACTGATGGGGAAACTGAGGCATCAAATGAATGAGTAGCTTAACCTTGTACCATATGACTGAGAAGGGGCAGAATGAGGTTTTTGAATCTGAGCCACCAGCTCCTGACCCCTCACTGTCAATACCAGTTTCAGCTGGGAAAGTGGCGCTTATGGTAGAGCAGAGGGCAGATGTCCCACCTAACAGGGGTGACCATCACTCAATCCAGCCAACAGAAACCCTCCAGAAATGTGGCTCAGCTATGGCCAGATGGGCTGTTTTTTTTGTTTGTTTGTGGTTTTTTTTTTTTTTTTTTGAGATGGAGTCTTGCTCAGTCGCCCAGGCTGGAGTGCAGTGGTGCAATCTCGGCTCACTGCAAGCGCCGCCTCCTGGGTTCATGCCATTCTCCTGCCTCAGCCTCCCAAGTAGCTGGGACTACAGGCGCCCGCCGCCACACCTGGCTAATTTTTTGCATTTTTAGTAGACATGGGGTTTTACCGTGTTAGCCAGGATGGTCTCGATCTCCTGACCTCGTGATCCGCCTGCCTCAGCCTCCCAAAGTGCTGGGATTACAGGCGTGAGACACCGTGCCCGGCCGGCTGTTTTTGTTTGGAGATAGGGTCTTGCTCTGTTGTCCAGGCTGGAGTGCAGTGGTGTGATCATAGTTCACTGCAGCCTCGACCTCCTGGGCTCAAGGGATCCTCCCTCCACAGCCTCCCAAGTAGCTGTGACCAGAGGCAGAAGCCACCATAATTGGTTATTTATTTATTTATTTTTTAAGTAGAGTCAGGGTCTCACTATGTTGCCCAGACTGGTCTCCAACTCCTGAGATCAAGGGCTTCTCCCACCTTGACTTCCCAAAGTGCCGGGATTACAAGCATGAGCCTCCATGCCTGGCCAGATTGTCTGGGAGTTTTTTGTGTGTGGTTTTGTTTTTGTTTTTATATTTGTTTTTGTTTGAGACACAGTCTTGCTCTATTGTCCAGACTAGAGTGTGGTGGCGTGATATGAGGCTCTCTGCAGCCTCAAACTCCTGGGCTGAAGCAATCCTCCCACCTCAGCCTCCAGAGTAGCTGAGGCTACAGGTGCATGCTACCATAACCACCTAATTTTTTTTTTTTTTTTTTTGTAGAGATGGGGTCTTGCTATGTTACCCATGCCAGGAGATGGCCTGGTTTCTAAGGAGAAATGGGACCTCTGGATTTGATGAGAACTTTCCAGATTTTTGAAATGGCATTCTGGCCCAGGCCAACCCTTGCACAATCGCATATGACCTCCAAGCTGGTCTCAGAGGTTCTGGCCATGTCTCACTGGAGCCTTCCCAAAGACTGACATTCCCAGGGGCTGATCCAGATGGTGAGGAAACTACCCCAAGAAAGAGATCCAGAGAAGAACAATGCCCGTGATAATCCACTTTTTTTTTTGAGATGGAGTCTCGCTCTGTCCCCCAGGCTGGAGCGCAATGGCATGATCTTGGCTCACTGCAACCTCTGCCTCCCGGGTTCAAGCAATTCTCCTGCCTCAGCCTCTTGAGTAGCTGGGACTACAGGGATGTGCCACCGTGCCCGGCTAATTTTTTTGTTTTTGTTTTTTTTTGAGACGGAGTCTTGTTTTGTTGCCCAGGCTGGAGTACAGTGGCACAATCTCTGCTCATTGCAACCTCCGCCTCCTGGGTTCAAGCGATTCTCCTGGCTCAGCCTCCCGAGTAGCTGGGACTACAGGTGCATGCCACCATGCCCAGCTAATTTTTTGTATTTTTAGTAGAGATGGGGTTTCACCATATTGGCCAGGCTGGTCTCAAACTCCTGACCCTGTGATCCGCCCTCCTCGGCCTCCTAAAGTGCTAGGATTACAGGCATAAGCCACCATGCCTGGCTGGGTTGCAGGGATTTGACGGCCACTGAGGCTAACTTGTGAGGTCTCAGAGTGGCTCAAGAGAGTACGAGGGCAGAACAAGTACCAGCTGAGCCTTGGGCCCACATCAGCCACCTCAGTGTTCCCCAGGCTTGCCAGGCACATCCTGCCTCAGGGCCTTTGCACTGACTGTTCCCTTTACCCAGGATGCCATTCTCCCCATGGCTCTTTGTTATCCTTCAGTATCTCTGAAAATGTCACCCCAGTCTGTTAAGGTTGGTGACAAGTAATTACAGGCCAGGCATGTTGGCTCACACCTGTAATCCCAGCACTTTGGGAGGCCGAGGAGGGCAGATTACCTGAGGTCAGGAATTCGAGACCAGCCTGACCAACATGGTGAAACCCCATCTTTACTAAAAATGCAAAAATTAGCCAGGAGTGGTGGCGCATGCCTATAATCCCAGCTACTCAGGAGGCTGAAGCAGGAGAATCGCTTGAACCCGGGAGGCAGAGGCTGCAGTGAGCCAAGATTACACCATTGCACTACAGCCTGGGCGACAGAGCAAGACTCTGTCTCAAAAAAAAAAAAAAACCAAAGAAAATAATTATGGTTTTTGCCATTGAAAGTAATTGCAAAACTGCAATTACTTTTGCACCAATCTAATATTGTCTTTGAAGCACATAGAACTATCTATCTGAAATTCTTGTTTATTTTGTGTCTCCCTGCCCCCCCACCCCCCCCACACACACTGGACTGAGTTTGACATGCAGCGGGGATGGCATCTGCCTCATTCACAGGGCTTGGCACAGAGTAGATGCTCAGTAAAGCTCACATTAAATGGTGCTGAGAGGCCGGGTGTGGTATCTCACGCCTGTAATCCCAGCACTTTGGGAAGCCAAGGCAGGTGGATCACCTGAGGTCAGGAGTTCAAGACCAGCCTGACCAACATGACAAAACCCCGTCTTTACTAAAAATACAAAAATTAGCCAGCCGTGGTGGTGGGTGTCTGTAATTCAAGCTACTGGGGAAGCTGAGGCAGAATTGCTTGAACCTGGGAGGCAGAAGTTGCAGTGAGCCGAGATCGTGCCACTGCACTCTAGCCTGGGCGACAGAGTGAGACTCCGTCTCAAAAAATAAATAAATAAATTAATTAATTAATTAAAATAAAAATAAATGATGTTGGGAGTTGATCAGTTAGGGCAGAGGCTAACTCGCTTCAACACAGTCACAAGTGATTTAAATAACCAAAGCTTATTTCTAAGCATTAAGTAGGTTATGGAGACATCACTGTGTGGGCCTGGCCCTGGTAGTTCCCCAGCACCCACCTGCTTCTGCCATGTAAGTGGCCACCTCACTTTCCCCTCAAATTCCATTGGCCAGAATTGGTCATGTGATTCCACTGCAAGGGAGGCTGGGAAATAGTCTCTCCCCAGCTCTGAACTCTGGACAGAGAGGGCAAGAGGATCTTGCGGGGAGTCAGCCCATATCTGCCTTGGTGTCTTAAGAAGCATGGGAGAGGAAGGCAGCCTGAGGAGGGCAACCAGGAAGTCCCAGGGTCACCACAGCCCAGAGACAAAGGCTTTGGGGCAGTGATGCAGCTCCTAGGTGTGGCAGATGATCTTGACTCTCGTTAAGAGTCAAGCCCCTGGCCGGGTGCAGTGGCTCGCGCCTGTAATCCCAGCACTTTGGGAGGCCGAGACAGGCGGATCACGAGGTCAGGAGATCGAGACCATCCTGGCTAACTTGATGAAACCCCATCTCTACTAAAAAATACAAAAAAATTAGCCGGGTGTGGTGGCAGGCGGCTGTAGTCCCAGGTACTCGGGAGGCTGAAGCAGGAGAATGGCATGAACCTGGGAGGCGGAGCTTGCAGTGAGCCGAGATCGTGCCACTGCACTCTAGCCTGGGCAAGAGAGCAAGACTCTGTCTCAAAAAAAAAAAAACCCCAAGCCCCTGTGGGGGCTGAGGTTTGGGGAGGAGGTATGGCTGTGTGGGTTGACAGGCCCCTATGTCCTCAGGATGTGGAGCTGGCCGAGCGCCTCAACGCCAGCCTGGCCTTCTTCCTCAGTGACCTTCTGTCCCTGGTGGACCGGGGCTTTGTCTTCAGCCTGGTCCGGGCCCACTACAAGCAGGTAGGAGTGGGCGTGGGCAGGGTGGACATGGCACGGATGGAAGGCGGAGCAATGTTGACATCACTGCTGGCCACCCCTCTCCTGCAGGTGGCCACGCGGCTCCAGTCGTCCCCTAATCCAGCGGCCCTGCTGACCCTGCGCATGGAATTCACCCGCATCCTATGCAGCCACGAGCACTACGTGACCCTCAACCTCCCCTGCTGCCCCCTGTCGCCCCCAGCCTCGCCCTCCCCCTCTGTGTCCTCCACCACATCCCAGGTGGGCTGGCTTCACTTCTGCCTCCTCTCTTTGACCTACAACCTCTCACCTTCAGTCCATCTCCTATGGTTCCCTCATCTCTGTCCCTTTCACGGTGGACCACTGCCTAGGTGAATTGATCCCTTATGTTTGACTTTTGACCTCTGACCCTTCACCTCTCCTGTCATTCTCAGCAATTTCCCAGAAGGACTAACTTCTGATTTCTCTCCCCTAAATCCTAACTCCCAGCCCAGTGCTCCATGTGCTATTTCTCAGTCCTCTGACTTTTGACCCCATGCCCTGTTACATCACAGATGGGTTAACGTCGCCTCTCATTTCTGGGCTTGAAACCCATACCCGCTGTCACCTCCAGATGACTTAACCTCAGCCTCTCATCTGTGGCTATTAGCACCATGATTTCTGTCACCTCCAAGATGGCTTTAATGGTGACCTCCCACCTCTGACCCTTGACCGCTGGCATCCCCCATTTTTACCCCACTCTGCAGAGCTCCACCTTCTCCAGCCAAGCCCCGGACCCCAAGGTGACCAGTATGTTCGAACTGAGTGGACCATTCCGGCAGCAGCACTTCCTAGCTGGTCTCCTGCTGACAGAGCTGGCGCTGGCCCTTGAACCTGAGGCTGAGGGGTGAGCAGAGGTCCTGTCTAGCCCCAGGGCAGGTAGGACATTTCAGGAGCCATGTCCACCCTGTCCTGAGCACCCCATTACCCCACAGGGCATTTCTGTTGCACAAGAAGGCCATCAGTGCTGTGCACAGCCTGCTATGTGGCCATGACACTGATCCCCGCTATGCAGAGGCCACCGTGAAGGCTTGTGTGGCTGAGCTGTACCTGCCGCTGCTATCGATTGCACGGGACACCTTGCCACGGCTGCATGACTTTGCTGGTCAGTGGGCCAGGGGAGGATGGGCTCACATGACCCAGGGACTTGGTCACAGGAGGCGCAGGATAGTAAAGGTGGGAGAACACAGTCAGGGATATGAGTATAGGCATTAGGATTAGCAGAGCAGGTTAAAGTGCTAGGACAGACTAGTCAAGTTATAACATCTCTGAGCCTCAGGTTTCTCCCCTGTAATGGGGACAGTAATAACACCAACTACTTCATAAGGTTATGTGAAAATGTGCGGGGCTGTAGTACTGAGATACTGTCAGCCTACAATAGACGGGAAATATTATTGTACCATTTATTATTTTCTTTTTTTTCTTTTTTTGAGATGGAGTCTCACTCTGTCGCCCAGGCTGCAGTGCAGTGGCACGATCTCAACTCACTGCAAGCTCCGCCTCCCAGGTTCACGCCATTCTCCTGCCTCAGCCTCCCAAGTAGCTGGGATTACAGGCGTCTGCCACCACACCCAGCTAATTTTTTGTAATTTTAGTAGAGATGAGATTTTGCCACGTTGGCCAGGCTGGTCTCGAACTCCTGACCTCAGGTGATCCACCCCCCTCGGCCTCCCAAAGTGCTGGGATTACAGGTGTGAGCCACCATGCCCGGCCGTGAGGGAAGACTTCTGAAATTTGAGACAGGGATAGCACTTACCAAGGCTTTATCTTTTTCTCCCTCTGTCCTTCCCTGCCAGAGGGTCCAGGTCAGCGGTCAAGACTGGCCTCAATGCTTGACTCAGACACAGAAGGCGAAGGGGACATTGTGGGTACCATCAACCCCTCTGTGGCCATGGCCATTGCTGGTGGCCCCCTAGCCCCTGGCTCCCGGGCCAGCATCTCCCAGGGGCCGCCAACGGTGAGTAGGGAGGCTTGTCCCCATAGACATCATCCCCTTTGAATGGGAGAAGCCAGGTATCAAAATACAGATTGGCCAGGATTCATCTCACATGGAGAAAATGGAAATTGACTTTGATTCCTCTCTGGCCCCAGGCTTCTCGCGCAGGCTGTGCCCTCTCTGCTGAGTCAAGCCGGACCTTGCTGGCGTGTGTGCTGTGGGTGCTGAAAAATGCCGAGCCGGCACTCCTGCAGCGCTGGGCCACTGACCTGACACTCCCCCAGCTGGGACGTCTCTTGGACTTGCTGTACCTCTGCCTGGCTGCCTTCGAGTACAAGGTTCGAGGGTGTCGGCAGGAGATAATGGGGGAGGCAGGCTAAAGATGTACCCAGGGACCCAGGGTGCTGCAGGCTGAGTGGGAAGGGGTGGACTGTCTTTGTGCAGAGGACTCTGTGGGACTGAGAGTAAAGGGGTGGATTGTTTCTGTGCCGAGGCAAGGAATAAAGTCAGAAATGCCTTTGTGAATAGAATTTGGAAGGTGGAGGCCAGGCACAGTGGCTCATGCCTGTAATCCCTGCACTTTGGGAGGCTGAGGCAGGTGGATCACCTGAGGTCAGGAGTTCAAGACCAGCCTAGGCAACATGGTGAAACCCTGTCTCTACTAAAAATACAAAAAATTAGCTGGGTGTGGTGGCACATGCCTGTAGTCCCAGCTACTCGGGAGGCTGAGGCAAGAGAATCGCTTGAACCTGGGAAGCAGAGGTTGCAGTAAACTGAGATCATGCCACTACACACCAGCCTGGGCAACACAGTGAGGCTCCATCTCCGGAAAAAAAAAAAGAAAGAAATTTTTTTAAAAAGGCCTGGTGCAGTGGCTCACGCCTGTAATCCCAGCACTTGAGGAAGCCAAGGCAGGCAAACTGCATGAGCCCACGAGTTTGAGACCAGCCTGGGCAGCATGGTGAAACCCCATCTCTACAAAAAATACAAAACTTACCTGAGCATGGTGGCACATGCTTGTAGTCCCAGCTACGGAGGTGGCTGAGGTGGATTGCTTGAGCCCAGTAGGTGGAGGTTGCAGTGAGCACTTTTTGGTAAGTGCTAAGAATTTAGAGGAAAAAGGTAAACTGTCTTTAAGCACAGGGGCCCGGAGGTGAGAAAGAGCACAAAGAAAGGGATGGGGCCAGCCAAGGTCCCACTGAAAAGAGCAGAGTCAACCTTGAACCCCAGTTCTCTGTCCCCCCGCAGGGGAAAAAGGCCTTTGAACGCATCAACAGCCTCACATTCAAAAAATCGCTGGATATGAAGGCACGTCTAGAGGAAGCCATCCTGGGCACCATCGGAGCTCGACAAGAAATGGTTCGGCGAAGTCGTGGTAAGAGGGTAACGTAGCCACGTGTCCCCATCCCACCAGCTGCTCCCACCTTGTGTCAAGGGACCCCATGAAGGGGGCCATCCCTAGCTTACTTTCTGCCTCACATTTCCTGGAGAGAGGTCCACGCGTCATCACCGTACATGTGCGCCTGTGCGTCCCCATCTGTCACTCGTGTCTGCCCCTGTGCGTCCACCTGGCAGGCTTCTGCTCCACCCAGTGCCCTCACGGGTCAGCCCACCTGAATATCTTCATGCCTGTGCATTTCTCCTGATGTTCACGTGTGCCCTGTGTTTTTATGCATCTGTGATCATGCGCTCATGCGTCTCAGAGAGGAGCCCATTTGGGAATCCAGAGAACGTGCGCTGGCGGAAGAGCGTCACACACTGGAAGCAAACCTCAGACCGCGTGGACAAGTAGGTGTGGGCAGGAGGGAGTTTGCTGAGTTCAGAACAGTTTAGGCCGAGGCGGGAGGATTGCTTGAGTCCAGGAGTTCGAGACCAGCCTGGGCAACATAGTGAGACCCTGTCTCTACCAAAAATTTAAAAATTAGCCAGGCATGGTGGCATGTGCCTGTGGTCCCAGCCACTCATGAGACTGAGGTGGGAGGATGACTTGAGCCTGGGAGGTTGAGGCTGCAGTGAGCTGTGATCACACCGCTGCACTCCAGCCTGGGCATCCGAGCAAGACCCTGTCTCAGAAAACAAAAACAACAACAAAAAACAACAGCTTCCAGAGAGCCGGAGCCCCCTGGGTTGCCAGGGGGAGGAGGGAGCTCAGCCATGGAGTAGGATCTTGCCCTGAGTGGGGCCCCAAGACCTCCCTTCCCCTTCCAGGACCAAGGATGAAATGGAACACGAGGCCTTGGTGGAAGGGAACCTGGCAACCGAGGCAAGCCTAGTAGTTCTGGACACACTGGAGATCATCGTGCAGGTAGGGCTTGATCCAGCATCTGCTTTGCGCTCTGAGCCCAACTGCAGTGCCCTGTGATCCCTGGCTCCATAATCCCTCTCCTTCCCTTTCCCTGTCACCACACCTGGATTTCTGACCCCCCTCCCCTCCAGACGGTGATGCTTTCAGAAGCCCGGGAGAGCGTCTTAGGGGCAGTGCTGAAGGTTGTGCTGTACAGCCTGGGCAGTGCCCAGAGTGCCCTCTTCTTGCAGCATGGCCTGGCCACCCAGAGGGCCCTTGTGTCCAAGGTAAGCACCACTCAACAACCATGATTCTTAGAAAAACAGTAGAAGCTCTAGGCTGAGCACAGTGGCTCATGCCTATAATCCCAGCACTTTGGGAGGCTGAGGTGGGAGGATCGCTTGAGGCCAGGAGTTTGAGACCAGCCTAGCCAACATAGAGAGGCCCGTCTCTACAAAACATTTTAAAATTAGCTAGGACTAGGCATGGTGGCTCATACCTGTAATCCCAGCACTTTGGGAGGCTGAGGCAGGAAGATGATGTGAGCCTAGGAGTTCGAGACCAGCCTGGGCAACATGGTGAGACCCTGTTTCTACAAAAAAATTGAGTGTGGTGGCATGTGCCTGTGGTCCTAGCTTCTCAGAAAGCTGAGGATCACTTGAGCCCGGGAGGTCAAGGCTACGTGAGCCGTGATCGTGCCACTGGACTCCAGCCTGGGCAACACAGTGAGAGCCTGTCTCAAAAAAAAAATGCTAGCCAGGCAGGGTGGTACACACCTGAGATCCCAGCTACTAGGGAGCTGCTGGGGAGGCTGAGGCAGGAGGATGGCTTGAGCCTGGGAGTTGTGAGCTGTGATCGAGCCACTGCACTCCAGCCTGGGAGACAAGAGTGAAATACTGTCTCAAAAAAAAGAAACAAAAGTAGCTCATTCATTGAGCACTTACTGTGTGCTCTGCAACTCCATGGAGCAGACTGCTTTGCCACAGTTTACAGTGGAAGGAAGGCAGGATCAGAGTGGCCAAGTCACTCACCCAGGGTCACACAGCACGGGGCTTAAACCCAGGTCTGACTCCGAACCCAGTGGTACTTGGCCAAAGAGGACAAAACACAAACCCCTACCCAAGCAGTCCTCATTTGGGCCAGTCCCCTTCTGAGCCAGAACCGGGAGGGGCTGGACAGTGTCTGTCTGGGTCCTTGTGGGCAGTTCCCGGAGCTGCTGTTTGAGGAGGACACGGAGCTGTGTGCTGACCTGTGCCTGAGGCTCCTACGACACTGTGGCAGCCGCATCAGCACCATCCGCACGCACGCCAGCGCCTCACTGTACCTGCTCATGCGACAGAACTTCGAGATCGGCCACGTGAGTGGGGGCGAGGAGGCATGGTCCACACATGACTCGGGTCAGGGTGGCCGGCGGGGTCTCAGTGCCATACAGGGAGTGAGGGAGGGGGAGGTAGTCACTGAGCATAATGGGCAGGAGGAGGGCTCAGAATGCAATTGGGGGTCAGATGCCCTGGCTCATTCCTGTAATCCCAGCACTTTGGGAGGCTGAGGTGAGAGGATCACTTGAGGCCGGGAGTTTGAGGCTGCAGTGGGCCATGATTGTGCCACCGCACTCCAGCCTGAAGTGGCTCATTCCTGTAATCCCAGCACTTTGGGAGGCTGAGGTGAGAGGATCACTTGAGGCCGGGAGTTTGAGGCTGCAGTGGGCCATGATTGTGCCACCGCACTCCAGCCTGAGCAAGAGAAACATTTTAAAATTAGAAGAGGCCAGGCATGGTGGCTCATGCCTGTAATCCCAACACTTTGGGAAGCTGAGGCAGGTGGATCATTTGAGGTCAGGAGTTCGAGACCAGCCTGGCCAACATGATGAAACCCCGTCTCTACTAAAAATACAAAAATTGGCCGGGCGCAGTGGCTCAAGCCTGTAATCCCAGCACTTTGGGAGGCCAAGACGGGCGGATACCGAGGTCAGGAGATCGAGACCATCCTGGCTAACACAGTGAAACCCCGTCTCTACTAAAAATACAAAAACTTAGCCGGGCGAGGTGGCAGGCGCCTGTAGTCCCAGCTACTCGGGAGGCTGAGGCAGGAGAATTGCCTGAACTCGGGAGACGGAGGTTGCAATGAGCTGAGATCACACCACTGTACTCCAGCCTGGACAACAGAACGAGACTCCATCTCAAAAATATTAAAAATTAAAAAAATAAAAAATAAAGAATGCAAGGGCCATGTCGGCAGGTTGAGCAGACCCTGGTGTGGTGTCTGGGGTCTGAGACTCCCGGCTCCACTTTCCCTCCCGTCCCTGCAGAACTTTGCCCGTGTGAAGATGCAGGTCACCATGTCTCTCTCGTCCCTGGTGGGGACAACACAGAACTTCAGTGAAGAGCACTTGCGACGTTCACTCAAAACCATCCTCACCTATGCTGAGGAGGACGTGGGGCTGCGGGACAGCACCTTCGCGGAGCAGGTGACACCTGCTGGGTCCCCGCGCCGCCTTCCCTTCGTATAATCCCTGACCCCACCACCTTGGCTCCCTTCACTTCCTAATGCCCTCATTGGCCCCTGAATGTTCCCCGGCTCCAGGTCCAGGACCTGATGTTCAACCTGCACATGATCCTGACGGACACGGTGAAGATGAAGGAACACCAGGAGGACCCTGAGATGCTCATCGACCTCATGTACAGGTGAGGCGGGCCAGCTGGCACCTTCAGCCGCGCCCACGCCCCAACAGGTGCAGGGAGAACAGGGATGAGAGTAGATGTCTGAGGAGGTGACGAGGGAGCAGGGGAGCGTACAGTCTCTAACAGAGGCAGGTGAAGGGGACAGGTGAGCAGAAATGAGGGCACAAGTAAGGAGAGAACAGGTGAGCAAACAGGTAAAGAGGATGCCAGAAGAATGTACTGATGAGGAGGACAGATGAGAGCTAGGACAGGTGAGGGGGACAGGTGAGGGGCTCACAGGTGAAGGGAAATGAGATCCAGAGACTAGACCTGTTGAGGAGTGTAGGAGGGGTGGACGGGTGATGGAGATGGGGAAGTTGGGGCATATGGGAGGGATAGGTGGATAGACAGGTGAGATGGTGCACAAGGAAGGGGAAACAGTTCAGGTGACTCAAGTTTCCACCGGTAGAGTCAACTCATGAACAGAGGGTCAAGTGAGAAATGAAAAGGTGGGGCAGGGGGGTGAAGGGACAGACAGGTGAGGGGTTAGATAAGCGAAGAGACAGGTGAATAGAGGAAGCGGGGAGATGCTACACAGGTGAGGAGACAAGGAGAGTAGGATGGATGGGTGAGGAGACAGGTAAGTGGGAAGACAGGAAAAGGGTTGGACAGGCAGGTGAGTGGGTGAAGAAATGGACAGGTGAGGACACAAGTGAGGGGATGGACATGTGAAGACATAGGGGACAGGATAGACAGGTGAGGGGATGGACAGGTCAGGAGGTAGATAAGTCAGGAGGTGGACAGGCAAGGAGACAGGTGAAGGGATGGACAGGTGAGGGAGTTGACAGGTGAGGGATGGAGAGGCAAGGAGACAGGTGAAGGGATGGACTGGTAAAGAGATGGCCAGATGAGAAGATGAATAGGTGAGGACGTGGACAGATAAGGAGACAGGTGAAGGGATGGCCAGGTGAGATGAACAGGTGAGGGGGTGGACAGGTGAAGAGACAGTGAGGGGATGGATAGGTGAGGGGTAGACAGGTAAAGAGGTGGACAGATGAGGGGATAGACATGTGAAGGGATGGACAGGTAAGAGGGTGGACAAGTGTGGGGAAAGAAAGGTGAGAGGGTGGACAGGTGAGGGGATAGACAGGTGAAGGGATGGACAGGTGAGGGGGTGGACAGGTAAGGCGATGGGCAGGTGAAGGCATGGACGGGTGAGGGGATAGACAGGTGAAGAGATGGCCAGATGAGAAGATGAACAGGTGAGGAGGTGGACAGATAAGGAGACAGGTGAAGGGATGGCCAGGTGACATGAACAGGTGAGGGGGTGGACAGGGGAAGAGACAGTGAGGGGTGGACAGGTAAAGGGGTGGACAGATGAGGGGATAGACAGCTGACAGGGTGGACATGTGAGGGGATAGGTGAGGGGATAGACAAGTGGGGGACAGGCAAGTGAAGGGATGGACAGGTGAGAGGGTGGACAGGTGAGGGACAGACAGGTGAGGGGATAAACAGGTGAGAGGGTGGACAGGTGATAGGGTCGACAGGTAAGGGGATGGGCAGGTGAAGTGACGGACAGGTGAGGGGATGGATAGGTTAGTGGGTGGACATGTGAGGGGATAGACAGGTGAGGGAGTGGACAGGTGAGGGGATAGGCAAATGAGGGGATAGACAGGTAGGACAGACATCTGAGGGGTGGACAGGTGAGGTGGACAGGCGAGAGGGTGGACAGGTGAGAGGTGGATAGGCGAGAGGGTGGATAGGTGAGAGGTGGATAGGCGAGAGGGTGGACAGGTGAGAGGTGGATAGGCGAGAGAGTGGACAGGTGAGGGGTGGGCAGGTGAGGGATGGATAGGTGAGGCGATAGACAGGTGAAGGGATGGAGAGGTGAGAGAGTGAACAGGTGAGGGATGGACAGGTGAGAGGATCGACAGGTGAAAGGGTGGACAGGTGAGAGGGTGGACAGGTGAGGGATGGACAGGTGAGGGGTAGACATGTGAGGTGATAGACAAGTGAAGGGATGGACAGGTGAGTGGGTGGACAGGTGAGGGGAGAGAGAAGTGAAGGGATGGACAGGTGAGGAGTGGACAGGTGAGGGGATAGACAACTGAAGAGATGGACAGGTGAAGGATGGGCAGGTGAGAGGGTGGATAGGTAAGGGAGTGGACAGGTGAGGGGATAGACAGGTGAGTAGGGTACGGGTAAGGAGACTGACTGGTCAGTGGCAGACAGCAGGACAAGTAAGGAGAAAGATGACTAAAGGAATATGTAAGGTAGGCAGGGGAGGAGACAGGTGAAGACAGATGACTGGCCAGCAGGTGAGAAAACAGACGAAGGGGAAGACAGGTGAGGGATGGCCAGGTGACGGAATGAGTGAGGCGATGGGGTACAGGTGAGGTGATTGGCTGGTCCTTGGGGCAGATATGGGGGTAACCAGTGAAGGGGGTGGACAAGTGGGAGGCAGGGGGAGGACCAGGTGAGTCCCCTCCTCACATCCCCCCTCACCTGGACTCCAGAATTGCCCGGGGCTACCAGGGCTCACCAGACCTGCGGCTGACCTGGCTGCAGAACATGGCCGGGAAGCACGCGGAGCTGGGCAACCATGCCGAGGCCGCCCAGTGCATGGTGCATGCAGCCGCCCTCGTGGCTGAGTACCTCGCCCTGCTTGAGGACCACCGCCACCTGCCCGTGGGCTGTGTTTCCTTCCAGGTGAGAGGCCAGGGGGCGGCAGGCGGTGGGCAGCACTTGTGCAGTGGGGACGAGGGTTTGATGCCATCTCTTCTGCCCCAGAACATCTCATCCAACGTGCTAGAGGAGTCCGCCATCTCCGATGACATCCTGTCGCCCGACGAGGAGGGCTTCTGCTCCGGGAAGCACTTCACTGAGCTGGGGCTGGTAGGGTTGCTGGAACAGGCAGCCGGCTACTTCACCATGGTGAGGCCTTGGGGACTGGGTGCAGGAGAGGGGGCTCGGGCCAGGGAGGCGCCATCACATCTGCTTCCTAGACCCTTCCAGCAGAGGATTTAGAAAGAAGGAGACTGGGCCAGGCGCGGTGGCTCACATCTGTAATCCCAGCACTTTAGGAGGCTGAGGCAGGTAGATCATGAGGCCAGGAGTCCAAGACCAGCCTGGCCAGCATGGTGAAACCCTGTCTCTACTACAAATACAAAAATTAGCCAGGCGTGATGGCACGCAGCTGTAATCCCAGCTACTCGGGAGGCTGAGACAGGAGAATCACTTGACCCAGAGAGGCAGAGGTTGCAGTGAGCTGGGATTGAGCCATTGCACTCCAGCCTGGGCGACAGAGGGAGACTGTCTCAAAAAAAAAAAAAAAAAAAAAAGCAAGAAGGAGAATTGGGTTTCTCAGAGGCCCTGTAACTTGCCTATGTCTCCATGAGACCCTTGATGCAGGCTTGATATAGCAAACCTTCCATACGCTGGAGATGCTTTCAATTTTCCTTTGTTTTCTTTTTTCCTTTCTTGTTTTTTTATTTGTGACAGAGTCTTGCTCTTTTGCCCAGGCTGGTGTACAGTGGTGCGATGATAGCTCACTGCAGCCTCGAACTCCTGAGCTCAAGCAATCCTCCCACCTCAGCCTCCCAAGTAGGTGGGACGGCAGGCATGTGCCACCATGCCCGGCCAATTTTTAAATTATTATATATATTTTTTCTTTGTGATATTTTGTGAGACAGGGCCTCCATTCTGTCACACAGGCTGGAGTGCAGTGGCGTGATCATAGCTCCCTACAACCTGGGCCTCCAGGGCGGCTCAGGTGATTCTCCCACCCTGGCCTCCTGAGTAACTGGACTACAGACACACATCACTAGACTAATTTTTTGTAATTTTTTGTAGAGATGGGGTTTTGCCATGTTTCCCAGGCTGGTCTTGAACTCCTGAGCTCAAGTGATCTGCCTGCCTCAACCTCCCAAAGTCATGGGATTACAGGTGTGTGCCACTACACCCTGCCAATTTTTAATTTTTTTATAGAGAGGGAGTCTTACTAGTTGCTCAGGCTGGTCTCAAACTTCTGGCCTCACTCAGTCCTCCCACCTAATCCCAGCACTTTGGGAGGCTGAGGCAGGAGCCTCCCGCCTGTAATCCGCCTGTAATCCCAGCACTTTGGGAGGCTGAGGCAGGAGGCTTACTTGAGGCCAGGAGTTTGAGACCAGCCTGGGCAACACGGCAAAACCCTGTCTCTACAAAAAATACAAGAAACTAGCTGGGTGTGGTGGCACGCACCTGTAGTCCCAGCTACTCAGGAAGCTTGAAGCGGGAGGATCACTGGAGCCCAGGAGGTTGGAGCTGCAATGAGTTATAATCGTGCCGCTGTACTCCAGTCTACGTGACAGAGTGAAACCGACATGTCTCAAAAAATAAATAAAATAAAGACAGGATATTCACATGCATCTTCAAGTTGGAGAAGCTCCAGCTTAAAGCAAATCCCAGACTGGGCGCAGTAGCTGACTCCTGTAATCCCAGCACTTTGGGAGGCCGAGGCGGGTGAATCACCTGAGGTCAGGAGTTCAAGACCAGCCTGGCCAACATGAGGAAACCCCATGTCTACTAAAAATACAAAAATTAGCCGGGCGTGGTGGCAGGCATCTGTAATCCCAGCTACCTGGGAGGCTGAGGCATGAGACTCGCTTGAACCCAGGAGGCGGAGGTTGCAGTGAGCTGAGATCATGCCACTGCACTCCAGCCTGAGGGACAGAGCAAGGCTCTGTCTCCAAAAAAAAAAAAAAGCAAATCCCAGGTATTTTCCCACCACTCCCACAAGTACCCGCTGTGCAACCCTTCCTGATAAAGACCCTTTTACAAAACTCGTATCCCACGTGGCCAAGTTAATGGTCATCCTTTAATGACATTGATGTCATTTCATTGCACTCTATATTTAGATGTCCCAGATCATCTCTGATGTATCTTTTTTGGGGTTACTTGGTTTGAATCAGAATCCAATAAGGGCCCACAATGGCTGTGGCTGATCTGTATCCTAAGTCTCTTTTTCTTTTTTTTTCTTTTTTTTTTTTTTTTTTTTGTGAGACGGAGTCTCACTTTGTCGCCCAGGCTGGAGTGCAGTGGCCAGATCTCAGCTTACTGCAAGCTCCGCCTCCCGGGTTTATGCCATTCTCCTGCCTCAGCCTCCCGAGTAGCTGGGACTACAGGCGCCCGCGACCTCACCTGGCTAGTTTTGTGTATTTTTTGTAGAGACGGGGTTTCACTGTGTTAGCCAGGATGGTCTCGATCTCCTGACCTCATGATCCGCCCGTCTCGGCCTCCCAAAGTGCTGGGATTACAGACTTGAGCCACCGTGCCTGCCAATTTTTTTTCTTTTTTTAAAGAGATGGGGTCTTGCTATGTTGCCCAGGCTGGGCTTGAACTCCGGGACTCATGCAACCCTCTCGTCTCGGCCTCCCAAAGTGCTGGGATTACAGGCATGAGCCAGCATGCCCGGCAACTGATTTTCCACTGTTGAAAAGGGGTTTTCTTCTCTAGTTTGCTTGTTTGTATGAGGGCAGGTGGTGGCTTCTACATTTGACTTGCAGGAGCCCTGGGGCCTTTGCTCCGCGTGTTTTTCTGGTTTGTGTGGGGCTGGCTGTGTCCATGTGATGTCACTTTACCTGTTTCTCAGTTCCTCACGTTTTGGGGAACTGGCATTTACATCTGAGAGCTCAGCGAGATTCAAGGTCACATTTGAAGTCAGGTGTTCCAGTGAGATTTCTTCTGTGGTGCTGGCCCTCTAGTGACACTAGTGACATTGTTTTCTTTTCTTTTTTTTTTTTTTTGAGACAGAGTCTCGCTGTGTCGCTCAGGCTATAGTGCAGTGGCACTATCTCGGCTCACTGCAAACTCTGCCTCCCGGGTTCACGCCATTCTCCTGCCTCAGCCTCCTGAGTAGCTGGGACTACAGGCGCCCGCCACCACACCTGGCTAATTTTTTGTATTTTTATTAGAGATGGGGTTTCACCGTGTTAGCTAGGATGGTCTCGATCTCCTGACCTCGTGGTCTGCCTGCCTCAGCCTCCCAAAGTGCTGGGATTACAGGCGTGAGCCACTGCGTCCGGCCAACATTGTTTTCATTATTGTCACTCTGCTGGATTCTTGGAGACAAAGTCCTCAGAGGAAGGGCCGAATGCGGTGGCTCACGCTTGTGATCCCAGCACTTTGGGAGGCCGAGGAGGGCAGATCACTTGAGGTCGGGAGTTCAAGACCAGCTTGGGCAACATGGAGAAACCCCATCTCTACGAAAAAAAAAAAAAAATACAAAAAAATTAGCTAGGCATGGGCTCAGTGGCTCATGCCTGTTATCCCAGCACTTTGGGAGGCCGAGGAGGGCAGATCACTTGAGGTCGGGAGTTCAAGACCAGCTTGGGCAACATGGAGAAACCCCATCTCTACGAAAAAAAAAAAAAAATACAAAAAAATTAGCTAGGCATGGGCTCAGTGGCTCATGCCTGTTATCCCAGCACTTTGGGAGGCCAAGGTGGGCAGATCACGAGGTCAGGAGTTTGAGAGCAGCCTGGCCAACATAGTGAAACCTCGTCTCTACTAAAAATACAAGTATTAGCCGGGCATGGTGGTGGGCACTTGTAGTCCTAGCTACTCGGGAGGCTAAGGCAGAAGAATCGCTTAAACCCGGGAGACAGAGGTTGCAGTGAGCCAACATCACGCCATTGCACTACAGCCTGGGTGACAGAGCAAGACTCTTGTCTCAAAAAAATAAAAATGAGCCAGGCATGGTAGCAGGCGCCTGTAGTTCCAGTGACTAGGTAGGATGAGGCAGGAGAATTGCTTGAACCCAGGAGGCAGAGGTTGCAGCGAGCTGAGATCATACCGCTGCACTCCAGCCTGGGCAACAAAGCAAGACTCCATCTAAAAACAAAACAAAACAAAAAAACAAACATGGGTGGGGGTTAGCGGAGGGATAGCATTAGAAGAAATACCTAGTGTAGGTGACGGGCTGATGGGTGCAGCAAACCACTGTGGCACGTGTATAGCTACGTAACAAAACTGCACGTTCTGCACATGTACCCCAGAACTTCATTATTGTCACTTTGCTGGATTCTTGGAGATGAAGTCCTCAGAGGAAGGGCCGAATGCGGTGGCTCACACATGTCAGAACCAGTATAATAATTAAAAAAAGATTAAAATAATAATAATAAAAAAAGATTTAAAACACACACACACACACACAAAGGCCTCAGGGGAAGAAACCAGGGGGTGGACACAGGCCTTCTGACAGTCAGCAAACCTCACAGGGTGCCTGTTTTGAGCCAGGCTCGATGCCAGCACCCGCTGGGGGTGAGGGGCATATTACCACACGCCAGGAGGCAGTTGGGCATGGAGGTCACGGGCACAGGGCCAGATGGGCTTGTGTTCGGGTCTTGGCCCTGGGGATTGCCTCCATATCTCTGAAACTCACTTTCCTCTTTGAGGAATAGGGGAAAAAAAAACTGCTTCTCCCATCAATGAGGGAACACAGATGGGTGAAGTGCAGATGTACATGGTACCTGTGCCATAGAATATTCTTGTTAAAAGTGGTGAAGGGCTGGGGGAGTGGTGGCTCACACCTGTAATCCCAGCTAATCGAGAGGCCAAAGGAGGAGGATCACTTGAGCCCATGAGTTCAAGACCAACCAGGGCAATATAGTGAGACCCTGACTCTACAAAAACTAAAACAAAATTAGCTGGGCATGGTGGCATGTGCCTGTAGTTCTAGCTACGTGGGAGGCTAGGGTGGGAGGATCTCTTGAGCCCAGGAGTTGGAGGCTGCAGTGAGCTGTGATTGTACCACTACACTCCAGCCTGGGCGATAGAGTGAGACCCTATCTCAAAAAAACAAAACAGATAAGTAGCGGTGAAGACCATGGAGCCCTCTGTGGGAGCTGAGTGGAAAGGCTCAGTCCCTATCTGGGATGGGGGTGGTCAGGGCGGGCTTCCTGGAGGAGGTGATGGAGGGTGGGTAGGATGGAGCACAGGATCACAAGGGAGATGGGTAGACAGGAGCACAGTGGAGAGGGGAAGACAGTTTGGGGAATCCTGACCCCACCTCACTCTCAGGGTGGACTCTACGAGGCGGTGAATGAGGTCTACAAGAACCTCATCCCCATCCTGGAAGCCCACCGTGACTACAAGAAGTTGGCCGCGGTGCACGGCAAACTGCAGGAGGCCTTCACCAAGATCATGCACCAGGTGGGCCCAGGACCCCTCCCCAGACCCCACCCTCAGCCCCACTCCTCATCCCCAGGGATCTGCTGACCTTGACCCTTCTCTCCCGACAGAGTTCCGGCTGGGAGGTGAGTCAGCCTCAGTGGACAGCCACCTGCCTCCGGGACCCCCGCGATGACTGGCCAGCAGCCATCAGTGAACACCAGGGGGCGCCGGAGGAGCATGGCCGCTGGCCATTGGGGCTGGGGCTGTGGCCACAAGGCACCCACCCCATCACTTCCCTCCCTTCCCTAAAAATGCGCCACCCCCCGCCCCAGATCTCGAGGGCAGCTTGTGACTCACCCAGCTGGGAGCTCTCCAGAGACACCCCTCCCTCTGCCAGGGCCAGCTTGGTCACTGCAGGGGGGTGGCAGGGTGGCTCTGACTCCCTCGTGGTCTCTTTCTCATCTCTCCCCATCTATCACGTGGCTCTCCCTATCTTGGTATCTCTCTGTCTCTTAGTCTCTGTCTCTCCCTGCGTCTCCAGCTTCCAGCCTCCCCCAGGCTCTCCTCTGCTCCTCATTTCTGGTTAATGTGTCCCCCCGCTCCAGCAGCACCCCCCCAATCCCGCTTCTTCTCTGCTTAGGTCTATTTTTAGGCATCTCCTAGTTTGGGGAGAATGTTCTGGCCAAAGATGGCAGAAACCCAGAGCCCAGGCAGGCCGGGTGGGAGCTGGGTGGGGAGGGCAGGTCCTCTTCGCCCCCACCCATCTCCCATCTCTGATCTCTCTCCCCACGGAATGATTCTCACGGGGCAGTGTTAACCAGGACCCTGGGGGTTGAGGGAACTCTGACCTCTGACCTCTCCCATGACATTGTCTCTCTGTCCCCCACACCTCTGACCCCACCATGTCTGCCCCACCCTCCCCGGATCGGCCTTGGTAAGTGAACATGCAGCCATTCCACTTCCTTTCCAGTCATGGGGTGGTGGTTTTGGGGTGGTAGGGAGGGGGTTCCTTCTTCCAAACTTAGGGCCGGGGACAGGAGCAGGGGAATGCCATGGAACAAGGGAACCAGAGCCTCTGTCCTACAGTGAGAGACAGCCATCCCTTCCCTCAGCCATCCAAGCACTTATTGGGCACCTACTGTATACCCATTCTTGCGGGCATCGGGGCACGGGAAGGAGAATGCCCTAGAACAAAGGAGTCAGAGCCTCTGTCCTAGAGTGAGAGGCAGCCATCCTTCTCCTCAGCCATCCAAGCATTTATTGGGTACCTGCTATATACCCTGTCCCATGGGCATTAGGGACACACCTGTGAACAATACAGCCCCAGTCCTAACTTCATATTGCAATCCCTGCCCCGATGTTCTCAGGACCCCCTGCCTGTGCCCATGCCCGGATGTTCTCGTGGTCCTCACACTCCCATCCTGATATTCGAGACCCCTATCTCTGGGGCAGGCAGACCTCCAGCAGGGCCTCCCGGACAACCACACCCTTTCTCACAGCTCCAGCGCGTGTTCGGGACGTATTTCCGCGTGGGCTTCTACGGCGCCCGCTTTGGCGACCTGGATGAGCAGGAGTTTGTGTACAAGGAGCCATCGATCACGAAGCTGGCAGAGATCTCACACCGGCTGGAGGCATGTCCTTGTGGTGGGGGGTGGAATGGGGCATGGGGCTGCCTTGGGGCTGGAGTAGGGGCTGTCCCTGGGTGGCCCCGAGTCAGCCCTGTGTCTCCAGGAGTTCTACACGGAGAGATTTGGCGACGACGTGGTTGAGATTATCAAAGACTCTAACCCTGTGGACAAGTCCAAGCTTGACGCACAGAAGGTGGGTCCCCCGACCATTTCCCCAAAATCCTAGATCCACAGAGACTCCAAGTCCTGTTTCCTGGGGACCCTCAAATCCTCTTTCTCTGGGAAACCCCAAATCACATTTCACTGGGGGACCCCAAAACCTGTTCCTCAGGGGATTCCCAAACATCCGGACATAGGAAGACCTGGAAGTGACAAAGTCCCCAGATCCAGGGATGCCCAGATCCCCTCTCTCCAGGCACAGGGCCTGGGCTGTGCGTGCCGGGGCTGTGGGACCCTCCTCACACCTGACCCTGCGCCCAGGCCTACATCCAGATCACGTATGTGGAACCGTACTTTGATACCTACGAGCTCAAAGACCGGGTGACCTACTTTGACCGCAACTATGGGCTTCGCACATTCCTGTTCTGCACGCCCTTCACGCCGGATGGGCGCGCACACGGGGAGCTGCCCGAGCAACACAAGCGTAAGACGCTGCTCAGCACCGACCACGCCTTCCCCTACATCAAGACTCGCATCCGTGTGTGCCACAGGGAGGAGGTGCGTGGGGACCCTGGGCCTGGAGGGGTGGGGAGGTAAGGGGACAACAGACCCTGGGAGGGGAGGGGAGGGGAGGGAAGACACAGGGACCCAGACCCAAGGTGGCCCATGGATCTCAGACACAGAGAGGGGTGGCAAAGGGACCCTAGAGCAGATCCCCAGGGAGGAGAGGGGAGGAGACCAGACCCAGGGAGACCTGGGAGGCAAGATACAGGGACCCCAGACCCAGCGTGGCCCAGAGATTCCAGACCCAGAAAGAGGAGGCAGAGGGAGCCCAGATCTAGGAAGGCCCAGGGAGGAGAGGTGTGGCCCAGGAAGAGACCCAGGTACCCCAGAACTGAGCCGAGAATATATGGAGACCCGAATTCCAATCTCTACACTGAAACCTGTACCTCCAGACCCAGGAGGACCCAGGGATTCTAGACTCACAAAGGGGAGGCACAGGGACTCCAAATCTAAGAAGGCCCAGGGAGGAGACGCCCAGGGATCCCAGACCCAGAGAGGAGACGTGTGGACACGCTAGACCCAGAAATTGGCTCATGTACCCCAGAACCAGGTTGGGGACCCCAAACTCCAACTTCCAGTCTCAAACCTCTACCTCCAGACCCAAGGAAGTCTGGAGACCCCAGATGTGAAGCCACTAAACCCCAGGGCACCAGACTCAGCAGACCCAAGGCTGGACCCCCCCAGAGTCAGACCCAGGAAGGACCCCAGATTCTGGTCATTGCCTGGGTTCTTGGACCCCTCTTGCTCCCAGCGGGGTCTGAGCTGCCCCCGACTGGCTTCGATCAGGACCTCCTCAGGCCCCAGCGAGTGCACACCCCTCCCCTCACCCCATAGACGGTGCTGACGCCAGTGGAGGTGGCTATCGAGGACATGCAGAAGAAAACACGGGAGCTGGCCTTCGCCACCGAGCAGGACCCACCAGATGCTAAGATGCTACAGATGGTGCTTCAGGGCTCTGTGGGGCCCACCGTGAATCAGGCACGGCTGGTGGAAGGGGGATGCAGGCCGCACGGGGGACTCCGGGTGCCATGCAGGCTGGCTCACCAGTCCCTCTCACCCCACAGGGTCCCCTGGAGGTGGCCCAAGTGTTTTTAGCAGAGATCCCGGAAGACCCCAAGCTCTTCCGGCATCACAACAAACTGCGGCTCTGTTTCAAGGACTTCTGCAAGAAGTAGGCGCAAAACCCCGCAGGAGGGTCTCATGCCTGCCTAACCTGCATAGACCTGCTCTCTGCCCACCTGATCTCCGCATGGCTCCCCCATCTGCCCGATTCCCATTAAGTCCACTCTCCCAACCTGACCTCCTATTGTGGGTCTTTCAGCAGGCCTGGCCCCGCCTTACGGATACCCCCACCCCTAGTCTTGCTTTCAGTCCCGTGTGCGAGTCTCTTAGCATCTCCCACCCTCTGGCCCTCAGATGTGAAGATGCGCTGCGGAAAAATAAGGCCCTGATTGGGCCGGACCAGAAGGAGTACCACCGCGAGCTAGAGCGCAACTACTGCCGCCTGCGGGAGGCTCTGCAGCCCCTGCTTACCCAGCGCCTGCCCCAGCTGCTGGCACCCACCCCACCTGGCCTCAGGTGCCTGACCTGGTGCCCCCATCCTAGAGACTAGAGAGGGGATGCAGAGGCAGACCAGGACAGATACAGGATGGGGGCTGTTGTACACGTACACAGCAACATGTTTCCTGGTAGCTTGGACTTTGTTCGACTTTGTTGTGTTTCTGGTTTTTTTTTTTTGAGAGAGTCTCCCTCTGTCGTCCAGGCTGGAGTGCAGTGGTACAATCTCAGCTCACTGCAACCTCCACCTCCCAGATTCAAGCGATTCTCCTGCCTCAGCCTCCTGAGTAGCTGGGATTACAGGCATCCAGCACCACACCTGGCTAATTTTTTGTATTTTTAGTAGAGACAGGGTTTCACCATGTTGACCAGGCTGGTCTTGACCTCCTGACCTCAGGTGATCCACCCGCTTTGCCTTCCTAAAGTGCTGGGATTATAGCATGAGCTGCTTCAACTTTGCATAAGCAGCTGAATAAGTCATCCAGATGTACAAAGGCAGGGCAGGCTCCGAGCCGTCATTTCCCAGATACATGAATTCATCTTTCTGAGCCTCAGTTTCTACATCTGTAAAATGGGGATGATTCATACCTTCCGTGGTGGACTACAAGAGAGAATCTGAGAATCCTACAGCAGGATCAGGGATAGGAGAGACCCCAGAAGGATCCTCGAAGGAAGATGAAGAGGAAGAGGATGAGGATGTGGGCTGGGAGGTCTATGGAGTTGGGGGCCCCACGGCCATGCTGACCCACCCTCATTCTTTTTCCAGGAACTCCTTGAACAGAGCAAGTTTTCGAAAGGCAGACCTCTGAGCCCACAAGGACCAAAGCTGCACCTAGAAGAACCAGCACCCGGCCCTCAGCTATCTGTGCTGCGAGGGGAGTCTCCCCTGGTGCCCACTGGGCCATGGGGTGACCACACTGTACTCGGTGCTGGGCCCTTTGCCCCTGTGTCCCCATCTGTATGCACTGATGCTTTTTTAATTTAAAATGGTTTTATAAGCAACCTGTGCCATGTGGTGCGGTCACTAGGGGCTGGGTCACATGCTCATGACATGCTCACAGTCCACTGCCCCACATCCACACATCCCTGCATCATCAATGGAGACACCAAGAACATACTGGGTGCCAGGGACATCATGGTGACAACAGACACAAATTCCTGCCCTTGTGGAGCTGACGTTCTAGCGGGGAAGGCAACACACAAATAATGTCACATGCCTACCGGGAATAATAATACCTGGTTCTTGTTTCTTTGTTTTTAACAGACAGGCTCTCTCTCAGTCCCCCAGGCTGGAATGCAGTGTCACAATCATAGCTCACTGCAGCCTCAAACTCCGGGGCTCAAGCCTCCTGAGTAGCAGGGATTATAGGCACATGCCACTATGCCTGGCTTTTCTTTTTCTTTTTTCATACGGAGTTTCACTCTGTCACCCAGGCTGCAGTGCAGTGGCGCAATCTCGGTTCACAGCAACCTCCACCTCCCAGATTCAAGTTATTCTCCTACCTCAGCCTCCCGAGTAGCTGGGATTATATATGTGCACCACCATGCTCGGATAGTTTTTGTATTTTTAATAGAGACAGGGTTTCACCATGTTGGCCAGGCTGGTCTTGAACTCCTGACCTCAGGTGATCCACCCGCCTCAGCCTCCCTAAGTGCTGGGATTACAGGTGTGAGCCATTTCTCGGCCCCAGGTGGTTTCTTTTTATTTTGTTTTTTGCAGACATGGGGTCTTGTCATATTGCCAAAGCTGGTCTCCAACTCCTTGGCTCAAATAATCCGCCCACCTTGCCCTCCCAAAGTGCTGCAGTTACAGGCATGAGCCACTGCGCCTGGCCTAATTTTTTTTCACTTAAAAATTTTTCTTGTAGAGACAGGGTCTTGCTACGTTGCCCAGGCTGGTCTGGAACTCCTGAGCTCAAGCAGTCCTCCTGCCTCGGCCTCCCTAAGTGCTGAGATTACAGGTGTGAGCCACCTCACCGGCCTAATAATATTTATTAAGCCCTTGCTGAGTGGCCGGCTGTGTACTAAAGGGCTCCTAGAAAGATCTCTGCAAAAGTAGGACACTCCATTTATGAGACTTTTTAACCCGAGGGACCTCCTTCCTAATGGTTGGGCCCCTTCCCAATGGTTAGTGAATCTTCTCAACACTCCTATCAGGTAGCTAACATGATCATCTCCATTTTACAGATGGGCAAACTGAGGCACAGAGCAGCAAGTTTGGTGGGTCTGGGATGGGAGTCCAGGTCTGGCTGGCTCCGGCGCCCAGGCCTGTGCAGCCTCCTCTCTCGCGCGGCGGTCACGCCACCGTGTGCCAGGCTTGCGCTGGGCCGCGTCCAGCCCTGGGCCGCCTGGGGGAGGGGTGACCTCCCGCCGCCGCGCCCCCCCGCGCGCCCTCCCCTAGCTGGGCCCCGGCCAGCTCCACCCCCTCCTGCCGCCGAGCCGTTCCGCCCCCCGCAGCGGCCCAGGGACAGCCGGCGGTGGGGGGAGGCCGGCGGGGGGGACCCTGCTTTGGGGACTTAAGGAGGGAGGAAGGACGAGGCCGGACAGCCCGGCGCGCACACACACACCTGCTGTCCAGGTGAGATCCAGTCTCCAACTAGCGTCTCTGCATCCCCACCCCCCACCGCGGCCTGGGCGCCCTGGCGGCGGGAGGGGGCGGGGCCGACTGGAGGGGCGGGGCCAGCAGGAGGGGGCGTAGTGCAGGCGGAGCCACCTCCGAGGGCCGGGCGCCCAGGCGGCGGCGCGCGCGAGGACGCTCGGGCGGCGGGACGCAGGGAAGGCAGCGGTCGGAGCGCGCAAGGCGAGTGGGACCCGGGGCTGGGTAGGGGTTCAAGTCCGGTTCGGGGATCGAGTGTGCACCGCCCCCCCACCTACTACCCTACCCCCCGCCTCCAACCCCGGGACACGACTTCGCTGGTCTCAACGAGCCGCTGCCTCCAACTCCACCTTCTATGCCCAAACTTTCCAGACTTGGACTGTCTCTGTCCCCGCGTCCCTGCTCCCTCCCCGTCTATGACCCCATACCCTCATCGATTCCTCCCAGTACCCCCATCGATTCCTCGTGCCCTGCCCGTCTCCCCTGTCCTGGCTCCCCTCTGCCCCCTCTCCCCTATCTGTGTCCCCCTTTCTGCCTCTGCTCCCCGCCCGGCTCTGCCCCCTCCCTGCACTGTCCCCCCTCACCCTCCTCCGCAGCCATGCCCCAGGCGGCGGGAAGGCGGCCGGGCGTCCGGCCGGGCTGGGCCTGGGCTTGGCGGCTGGGCCGGCGTGGGGAGCGGCAGCTGTTTGCCATTAGCCGGGGATCCACAGGCCCCGCCCCCTCCCTGCACGGGGCGGGGTCCTTCTCGCCGCCCCCCAACCCCCCGAGTTTAGGGCGGAAAGGCCCCCCGCGCCCCCGCCACCTCCAAGATGTGCAGGCCGGTCTTGGGTGGTGGGTTGGGGAGACCCGCGCCCCTTCCCTGAACTCCCTACCTGTCCCCTCTTGTAGGCTCCAGTCTCTCCATCTGTGTCTTATCCTGTCACCCCTTCCCCACTCCCCAGGGGTCCCATATCGAGAGAAGGGTTTCAGCCACAGACATCCATCTCCCCCACCACACCCCCTCATCTCCTTTCTCTTCCCCTTAACTCGGGAGTCGCTGGTCCTGATCGAGGGCGGTCAGATGACTGAGGACCCTCAGACCTCAGTCTTCATATCTGGGAAACGGGTAGAGATATCTGGTGTGGAGTCTGGGGGTGGTGACTTGGTGGGCATTGGCGGGATCCACCAGCCTTAGGTTCACGTTCAGGCCCAGCTACTTCCCCGTGGCCCCAAGGATCCTAGGTAAGCCACTGTACCTTTCTGTGCCCTCTGCATCCCCTGTCTGTGAAACGGGATAACTGCCCATCTCATGGAATTGTCACGACAATTAAAAGAGTTGATGTTAGGCTGGGTGCGGTAGCTCATGCCTGTAATCCCAGCACTTTGGGAGGCCGAGGTGGGTGGATCATCTGAGGTCAGGAGTTCGAGACCAGCCTGACCAACATGGAGAAACCCCATCTCTACCAAAAATACAAAATTAGCCAGATATGGTGGCACATGCCTGTAATCCCAGCTACTCAGGAGGCTGAGGCAGGAGAATTGCTTGAACCTGGGAGCCGGAGGTTGCGGTGAGCCAATATCATGCCATTGCACTCCAGCCTGGGCAACAAGAGCAAAACTCCGTCTCAGGAAGAAAAAAAAAAAAAGAGTTGGTGTTATTATTACTGTTACTATACTGTTTGCCTGGCAGCACCCTCACTCCCCTGCCCTCCTCTCCCCCTGACTATTCCAATCCTGCTCTAATCCCGCTTGCTCCCTGTATCTCCATCTCTCTTTGGTGGCCAGAAAATATTTTCAATCAACTTCCTGTTGCTCAGGGGCGAGTCTCCAGGCAAATGGAAAACCAAATTTCCTGCAATTGGTGACCATGTGTTCCAGGTGTTGAAAGACAGAGAAGCGAAGACAGAAACGTGGAAAGACAGAGAGAAAGACACGGAGAGAGACGTAGAAGGACAGAGACGTGGAGAGAGACACAGAGAGACAGAGACGCGGAGAGAGACACAGAGAGACAGAGACGTGGAGAGACACAGAGAGACTTGGAGAGAGACAAAGCAAGACAGGACAGGAGAACAAGGACAAGCTCAGGTGCCCCGGAGCCCCAGCCCTGCCTTCATGCCCAGCAGGTGCCCTACCTGGCCCATCCTCCCAAGGTACCTGCTGCCCCCGCACTCAAAGGCCAGAAAGGATTCACTGATGGCGGGATGGGCTGGGGCCTTTGCAGCATGATGGCTGGAGGTCAGATAACAGAAAGGACTGGCCAAGTTCAGACGGGTTATACTGGGGACAAAAGAGCCCTGGCCAGCCTCCAGGGCTGAGGGGGGTTTAGTGAGAGGCTCTGATTGTCCCTCCCTTTTGCAGCCTCCAGGCGCCCCGTCTTACTTCCTCCCCTCCACCCCCAGGACTTCCTGGGCCTCCACCCGGCCCCCTATCCCTACTGCGCCCCTAAGCCCGGACGCATCCTAGGCAGGCAGGAAGTTCTGTGTAGCCCGGCAGTGAAACTGTTTATTTTTAGAGAAAATTGTTTCCATAAAGGGGAAAGGCTTCACTCCTAGCTGCCTCCCCAACTTTCCCTACCCTTCCCCCCTACCTAGTCCAGGCCTGACCCAGCTGTCAGCTTTGGGGTCACTGGGGGTCCCCTTCGCCATGCTTTGCTTCTCTTTGTTCCCCTCCATCTCTGTCTCCTCAGATCCTTGCAGGAAGATGAGGTTCCCGTCTTCCCCAACCCCTTAGCGCCTCAACCCCCATCCTTCCCTGTGGCCAGCTTCAGGCCTGGGCTGAGGGGAGGGGATGCAGGAAGGGTGGGGCCTGTTGGGCTTGGGGCCCCCCAGCCCCAGAGCTATGTGGAGGCCGGGCTGTGGGAACAGCTGGAGCCTGTCCAGGGGCTGGACAGATGTTCATGCAGGCAGTGAGGTTTGGTTTCTTTGTTCCAGACCTGCGGTGCGGGGGGAGCCCTTCCGCAGCCAGGCCGGGTGTGCGTCTATGAGTGGGTCCCAGACCTGGGTGGGGGGTTGGGTGAGCCAGAAGTGGAGGGGACTGGCCCCATCTCCTTCCCTCCCCCTACAGACTCGTAACTCCCGGTGCCATGGTTCCCTTTCCCCAGGTAAGCCTCAGTCAGTGCTGCAGGCAGTCTGACTCGCAGTCCCTGAAGTGACTTCCAAGGAGCATCTGTAGACAAGAAGATGGCCCAGGTCCTGCACGTGCCTGCCCCCTTCCCAGGTCAGGGGACTCAGGGAAGAGGGCCCTGCCCTGGGGAGCTTCAGTTCTGGAGGCCTGAGGGGCCGGGGACTCTGCCCTGGGGACTTTGAGGGTGGGACGCAGCCCAACGATTAGAGGTCTGAGGGAGGAGGCAGAGTCCTGCCCCGGGTGTCTGATGGGGAGGCACAGCCCTGCGCTGGGAGGGTCTGAGAGCAGACGCGGTTGAGTACCAGGTGGGCTCCCATCTCTTGGGCAAATAAACCCCAACTCTCCCCAGGCATCAGTCTTCACCCTGAGTATGGGGAAAAGAGGATTCAAAGGTCCTGGTGTTTCTCCCACCCCCAGGGACCCCTGGCCCGGCCTCCCCGCCTGCCTTCCCTGCCAAGGACCCCGACCCACCCTACTCTGTGGAGACCCCCTATGGCTATCGCCTGGACCTGGACTTCCTCAAGTACGTGGACGACATCGAGAAGGGCCACACGCTGCGACGCGTGGCGGTGCAGCGCCGCCCCCGCCTGAGCTCGCTGCCCCGTGGCCCTGGCTCCTGGTGGACGTCCACTGAGTCGCTGTGCTCCAATGCCAGTGGGGACAGCCGCCACTCAGCCTATTCCTACTGCGGCCGTGGCTTCTATCCTCAGTATGGTGCTCTGGAGACCCGCGGTGGCTTCAATCCGCGGGTGGAACGCACACTGCTGGACGCCCGTCGCCGTCTCGAGGACCAGGCGGCCACACCCGCCGGCCTGGGCTCCCTGACCCCCAGTGCGGCCGGCTCGACGGCCTCCCTGGTGGGTGTGGGGTTGCCACCCCCGACGCCACGGAGTTCGGGACTGTCCACGCCGGTGCCTCCCAGTGCCGGGCACCTGGCCCACGTGCGAGAGCAGATGGCGGGTGCCCTGCGGAAGCTACGGCAGCTGGAGGAGCAGGTGAAGCTGATCCCCGTGCTCCAGGTGAAGCTCTCAGTGCTCCAGGAGGAAAAGCGGCAGCTCACAGTGCAACTTAAGAGCCAGAAGTTCCTGGGCCACCCCACAGCGGGCCGGGGCCGCAGCGAGCTCTGCCTGGACCTCCCCGATCCCCCAGAGGACCCAGTGGCACTTGAGACCCGGAGTGTGGGCACCTGGGTCCGAGAACGGGACTTGGGCATGCCTGATGGGGAGGCTGCTCTCACTGCCAAGGTCGCTGTGCTGGAGACCCAGCTCAAGAAGGCACTGCAGGAGCTGCAGGCAGCTCAGGCCCGGCAGGCCGACCCCCAGCCCCAGGCCTGGCCACCGCCAGACAGCCCGGTTCGCGTGGATACCGTCCGGGTGGTAGAAGGGCCACGGGAGGTGGAGGTGGTGGCCAGCACAGCCGCTGGCACCCCTGCACAGCGGGCCCAGAGCCTGGAGCCTTATGGGGCAGGGCTGAGGGCCCTGGCAATGCCTGGTGGGCCTGAGAGCCCACCTGTGTTCCGCAGCCAGGAGGTGGTGGAGACGATGTGCCCAGTGCCTGCTGCGGCTACCAGCAACGTCCATATGGTGAAGAAGATTAGCATCACAGAGCGCAGCTGTGATGGAACGGCAGGTAAGCGGTCTCAGGCGGGGAGAATGGCTGGGGGTGGGGGGGCCCTCTTTCTTCCCATGGCTCATCCTGGACCCTCAGAATGCCAGGATCCAGGCGGGGTGCTGTGGCACATGCCTGTAATCCCAGCACTTTGGGAGGCCGAGGCAGGCCTCTTGAGGTCAGGAGTTCAAGACCAGCCTGGCCAACGTGGTGAAACCTCATCTCTACTAAAAATACAAAAATTAGCCAGGTGTGGTGGCATGCACCTGAAACCTCAGCTACTCAGGAGGCTGAGGCAGGAGAATTGCTTGAACCAGGGAAGCAGAGGTTGCAGTGCCTGTAGACCCAGCTACTTGGGAGGCTAAGGCGGGAGGATTACTTGAGCCTAGGAGTCACGGCTGCAATGAGCCGTGATTGCACCACTGCACTCCGGCTTGGGCAACAGAGCGAGACTCTATCTCTTAATAACAACAACAACAAGATATTTGTGCACCTGGATCCAGCCATGCCTGAAGCTGTCATCAGTTACATAACAACACATTTCCTTTTCACTGCTTAAACTGGTCCAAGATTGGTTCCTGCCACTTACTGAATAAACAGGGAGGATTTCTGCCTGGTAAACCAACAGCCTTGGGGAACTTTCCCCCAAATACCTCCCGCTTTCTGGATACTGACAAAGTGGCAGTCACCTAATTTCTCTGCATGGTTGCTACAGCCCTGAGGTTGGGTGCACAATTCTTCACCTTTTGTGGATGACAAGACAGAGACTCTCTAAGAGTTGGAGTGATGTGTCTGGTGGAAGAAAATTAACGAGTGCCGTGTTAATTTTTTTTAATTTTTTGTAGAGACAAAGCCTCATTATATTGCCCAGGTTGGTCTCAAACTTCTGGGCTCAAGTGATCCTCCTGTCTTGGCCTCCCAGAGTGCAGGGATTACAAGCATGAGCCACCACACTGGCCTCAGTGCTCAGGTATCATCAGGAATCTAACTTGATGCCTTTCATTTTTTGTTTACCCTGGGAGCTTCTCTTTCAGGCAGGCGAGGGAAGGTGACCTCACTGCTCCAGGCATCTGTCTGTTCCGTTTAGTGCAGAGGGAGCTCCTTAGTCCAAAGAGCACCAGTAAAAATCCCAGAGGGGGCCCTCATTGGCTGGCCTGGGTCATGTGCCCATTGCTGAGCCAGTCACAGTGTGGTGTCCCTGTCTGCCTAGCCATGGACACTGGGGGTATGGGAGCCCCACCCAAGCCCTGTGGCCTTTGAGGGAGGAAGGGGGTGCTTCCCAGAGGAAGTACTGAGTCCTGATGCCAGGAAAGGGGATGCCGGCTGTGCAGAATGTCAGCTGCCGGGTTGTCCTGAGGTCCCTGGGAGAAGCCACCCAAATGATTCATAATAATGACAGCTGGGCCGGGCACGGTGGCTCATGCCTGTAATCCCACACTTTGGGAGGCCGAGGCAGGCGGATGGCTTGAGGCCAGGAGTTCAAGACCAGCCTGGCCAACACAGTAAAACCCTGTCTCTACTAAAAATAACAAAAATCAGCCAGGCGTGGTGGCACACACCTGTAGTCCCTGCTACTCCAGAGGCTGAGGCAGGAGAATCGCTTGAACCTGGGAGGCGGAGGTTGCAGTGAGCCAAGATCACACCACTGCACTCCAGCCTGGGCAACAGAGTGCAACTGTATCTCAAAATAATTAATAATGACAGCTGGCCAGGCACGGTGGCTCATGCCTGTAATCCCAGCACTTTGGGAGGCAGAGGCAGACAGATCACTTGAGGCCAGGAGTTCAAGACCACCCTGGCCAACATGATGAAACCCTGTCGCTACTACAAATACAAAAATTAGCCGGGCATGTTGGTGGGTGCCTGTAATCCCAGCTACTTCAGAGACTGAAGCACAAGAAATGCTTGAACCTGGGAGCCGGAGGTTGCAGTGAGCTGAGATCATGCCACTGCACTCCAGCCTGGGCAACAGAGTGAAACTGTGTCTCAAAAATAATAATAATGATAATGACAGCTGTTCTTCTTGAAACATGGTCAGGGAGGCTCTGCCAGATGGGTTCAAACTCATGCGGTGTGATACTGGGTAAGCAACGTCACCTCTCTAGCCCTAAACATCCCTATCTGTGAAGTGGCATGATAATGCTCTCCGTCTTAGAGAGGTGGAGAATTTATGAATTAATGCACATGGTTAAGTACTGGTTGCTGCTTCTGCTGATAATGTTCTGGTCAACCCTGTTTATACCTGGGGAAACTGAGGCTTGAGGAGATTCATTTGTCCTGTGTGACACAGCCAGGAAGTGGCTCAACTGAACCAGTATCTAAACCCAGGACATCAAGCCTATTATCCTAGCACTTCGGGAGGCTGAGGTGGGTGGATCACCTGAGCTCAGGGGTTCAAGACCAGCCTGGCCAATATAGTGAAACCCCGTCACTAACAAAAATACAAAAATAAGCCGGGCATGGTGGCACACGCCTGTAGTCCTAGCTACTCGGGAGGTTAAGGGAGGAGAATTGCTTGAACCTAGGAGGCGGAGGTTGCAGTGAGCCAACATCGCGCCACTGCACTCCAGGCTGGATGACAGTGAGACTCCATCTCAAAAAACAGAAAAAGAAAAAAAGTAAAAATAAACAAACCCAGGACAGCTTGAATCTGCCGCAGAGCTTGAAGGTAGGGCCCAAGTTCTCATCCCAGCCTCGAATGTCAGGTGGCCAGAGCCCCTACCGACAGACCAGAGGGCACAGGCTGGAGGGCACGGACCCAGCTGTGTTTTCTCGCCGGCCCGTGTTGTTCCTGGCCAGCTCTGGACACCACCCGCCTGTTCTATGTCTATCCCAAACACCCAACCCTGAGGTTCTGGCCCCCTGCCAGAGGCTCCGCCTGGCTCAGCCTCGGAATCTCTGAGAGGCAACCACCATTCCAGACGTGCCTCCCAGAGCAGCTGGGAGGCCTTCTGCCTGCAGGACGAACAGACAGAGCGATGTCCACCTTCTTTGCATGCAAGCTGCTGCCCTGAAAGTTCTGCCTGGAGTCTCATTTTATTCCCTTTTGCTGCAGGCAGCCCCAATCTCTGCCTTGCTTGGGCTGAGCTGGAATGTCTTAATTCATTTCTATATCTTCTTTTTTTTTTTTTTTTTTGACGGAGTCTTGCTCTGTCGCCCAGGCTGGAGTGCGGTGATGCAATCTCGGCTCACTGCAACCTCAGCCTCCCGAGTAGCTGGGATTACAGGCAGGCACCACCATAACTGACTAATTTTTGTATTTTTAGTAGAGATGGGGTTTCACCATGTTGGTCAAGCTGGTCTCAAACTCTTGACCTCAGGCGATCCAACTGACTCGGCCTTCGAGCATGATTTAATCTCTGTGCCTCAGTTTCCTCATTTGCAAATTGGGGGTCCTGACGGCACAGTATCACTGGAATAATGTGAGGCTTTAATATGTCAATTTGGCTGGGCGCAGTGGCTTATGCCTGTAATCCTAGAGCTTTGAGGGGCCAAGGCAGGAGGATTGCTTGAGGCCAGTGGGTCGAGGCTACGGTGAGTTGTGACCACACCACTGCATTCCAGCCTGGGCAAGACCAATCTTGTGGGTGGGAGTAGGAGGGCGAGAATCAATTCATGTCAAGTGTTCACCATGCTACCAGGGGTGTGTTGATAGTTGGTGCCGAAGGTCAGCTCTTGGCTCTATAGCCTCTCAAAGGAGCATCTTTTTATTTCTGAGATGGAGTCTCTCACTGCTGCCCGGGCTGGAGTTCAATGGTGCTATCTCAGCTCACTGCAACCTCCGCCTCTCGGGTTCAAAAGATTCTCCTTGTCTCCGCCTCCCAAGGAGCTGGGATTCCAGGCGCCCGCCACCACACCCAGCTAATTTTTGTGTACTTTCAGTAGAGACGGGGTTTCACTATGTTGGCCAGGCTGGTCTCGAACTCCTGACCTCGTGATCTGCCGGCCTCGGCCTCCCAGAGTGCTGGGATTACAGGTGTGAGCCACTGCACCCGGCCTCCAAGGAGCCTCTTTGAACAAAGACGTGAAAGGAAAGAAGTCACCAAAAGAGGTGGAAAAATTCCAAGGAGGAGCACAGCAGGGACAAAGGCCCTGAGATAAGCAGAGGCTCGGGCTTATCAAGGGGTTGAACAAACTGGAATGAGCTACTGCACCCAGCCTAAATTTAAAAAAAAAAAACTTATTTTGGGCCAGGTGTGGTGACTCACGCCTATAATCCCCACACTTTGGGAGGCCGAGGTGGGCAGATCACCTGAGGTCAGGAGCTCAAGACCAGCCTGGGCAACATGGCGAAACCCCATCTCTACTAAAAATACAAAAATCAGCCAGGCGTGGTGGCGCGCACCTATAATCCCAGCTACTTGGGAAGCTGAGAAAGGAGGATCGCTTGAACTGGGGAGGTGGAAATTGCATCGCTGCACTCCAGCCTGGGTGACAGAGTGAGACTGAGACTCCATCTCAAAAAAAAAAAAAATTGTATTTTGGCCTGCAGGAGTCCAAAACTGAGTTCATCTCATTCCTTAGCTCCTGACAACCATCCACGTTAGCCTGCGCAGACCACTTTTCTTGTATTATTATTTTTTCACCTTCAACCTCCACCTTCACCCTTCAATGCTAAAGGTCAGTAAATATTTTCACTTTGGCGGGTCATACAGTCTCTATTGCACTGATTCAACTCTGCCTCCGTTCTTTTTTCCTCCCCACTTTATTTTTATTCCTTTTATCCTTTTTGTTGAGATGAGGTCTCACTATGTTGCCCAGGCTGGCTTCACACTCAGACACTGAAGTGATCCTTCCACGTCAGCCTCCTGAGTAACTGGGATTACAGGCGTGTGCCACTATGCCCAACTTTTTCTGGTTTTACTGACGTATACTTAATATGCCCCAAAAATGCACATATTTAATGTATACGTTTTTGAGTTTGGTGCTTCAGTGCCTTCATTTTGCAGTTGCAAAAGCAGCCATAGACAATATGGAAATGAACGAACATGGCCGCATTCCAATAAAACTTTATTTACAGA